TTTAGAGCTCGCTATTCAGGGAGAACAGTGCCTTCTCCCTGACTACCAGCAGTATGACGACAGAGGTGATGGCGGTGACACAGGCTTTCATGTTGCTAGAATCACAAAACTATTCCCGCTGGTGTGTGCTGAGTGTTTCTTTGAGTATGATCCGGCCGGTCGTGATAGACAGGTTAAGCAGACAGTGGACTGAGTTACTGAAAAACTCTCATACTTGTCCCAGGGCTTGCATGTGTTGTTGGTAACGAAAGAGCTGATAAACTGACAATTGCCGCATTAATTGAAAATGGCCGACCGATGGATCACGCAAACATTTTCAATGCCCTTAGAGAGATAGAACATTCCGAGAATTTTGGAAGCAACGTGTCCACCTTACTGCTACAAATACGATAATTAAGAGTAAAGATCGGCAGAAAATCACTCGGGACGCACACGAAGTCTTGTCAACCAGCATAGGACTGGCATTGTTAACCGCGCGACGCTTATGAATATATTAAGAGGGGGATCTGGGCATCTATGGATGTCTCCGGAGTGCTGCGAAGGTAATCCAACTCATAACTCGAATAGATTGGTAGGCGAATGTAATAGCTTTATAAGGTTATGACTCAAGTCCAAAAACATGTACACATATACATAACAATCGGTCGTTTTCAGAGTGGTGATTAGCTGTAATGGGTTTCCTACAGTGAATCATGTCCTGGTTTTACACGTACTGAAACTGCACCCTGCCGCTGGGCTGCAAGATCGGAGTCACCACTGGCTTCACAAGGAGCAGGTTGGATGTCTTGTTGGTTGAAGTCAAGAAACAAGGTTACGTGCCAGATGTGAATGTAGCTGGAGATGAAGTGATCCTTGGTGCTCACCCCAAGCCTTTCATGGTTTACCGCAATCTGAGCCTTCTAGATGTGCCCAATATTCAGTCTGTTGTGAAGGTTGACGACACCGTGTCCGGCGTTGGTGAGGCACTGTCTGCAGGATGCTGGGGTTTCGGAGTTGCCCGCCACAGCAACTACATGGACATTAACAGCCTAGAAGAGGAAGCCCAGTTGTCTGAGGAGGATATCCAGAAGAGGGTAGCTCACACTCCAAAGTTTCTGGGGTCTGCTCATTCAAGGCACCATCAAGGACACAGACAGGCGCTCACTACGTCAACGACACCATCAAGGAGCTTTCAGGAGTCGTCGCTGATATTAACACCAGATTGGCAAGAGGAGAGAGACCATAATCTCTTTGTTTGCCTAACCTAATTTGAGAATTTGTTACCTATTTTATTAAACCACTGATTATGAAAGAGAAAGAGAGAGAGAGAGAGAGAGAGAGAGAGAGAGAGAGAGAGAGAGAGAGAGAGAGAGAGAGAGAGAGAGAGAGAGAGATGAAGTAGGCTAAAAAAAAACATAATCGAAAGAGACAGTCATTGCACAAGATAACATCTAAAACAAATCACGTCGAAAAGAAATAACGCGTACAAGAAATAACGTGCAAAGAAGCACAGCTAGAACAGGTGAAAAGAACGTTAAAAGTCAGCTTAAGCTTTCTGAGCATCTTACGCTGATGAAAAACAGATTAAAACAAGCAAACAAAACCGTAATGATGGTGGTAACGATAGCAAACAAAGAGCAAAAATAAACAAGAAATGGCTGAACGGAATGGAGATGGCTATCAGTACGTAAAACTAACGAAAGGCTACAGCTTCATCATCTGCTATATAGCCGGACTGTCAATGTGATCTGAGGAAGAACGTAAACCTTGGGTACAGGTAGGAAGCTTCGATGCTGCTAGAAAGGAGCTCACAGAGTGACATTCGTGTCAAATCAAAGGTGAGCTTATTAGGGGTGTCTGGTCTTGTGAAAGCTTGAGCTCTTTCAATACCATGAAACTCAGCATACGTTTATTTGATAGTCGTAAGACAGTTAGCGGGGTAGGGGTATCCCCTATCAAAGGAGAAGTAAGACGCCTCCTTTCCTCCGCTAGTCTACGGGACACCCTTGGGCAAGGTGGAGTACCCGTTTAGCCCCCCAATCAGGGTTACGTGAAGCCATGGAAGCAGGTGGTGGATGGAGTGTAAGAGCAGCCGACTGGTATTGTTGGTTATGGTCTGCACTCTGCGGCGATAGGCAAATGATTCTATCAGCAGAGACAATGGCTATGGCCACCGACTAGTATAGTCACTGCTCAGGAGGAAAGCAACGGCAAACTACCTTCTGCAAATTTTGTCAAGAATCCATAACAATCAGGTCAGATTTTTAAGAGCATGCATCTTTCCCATTGCAACATACGCCTGTGAGACCTGGACACTTACTAAACAAGCGGAATAGCGCATAAATGCATTTGAATATAAATGTTACAGACAGGTTCTAAGAATATCTTGGGTAAAGAAAAGAACAAATGCATCCATACTTCAAGAGCTGAATATTGAAGAGGGTTGGCTAGTAAAGACAATAAAACAAAGAAAATTGAAATATTTTGGTCAATTGAAACGTCATGGAAGTCTAGAGAGAACAATAATGGAGGGGTATATGCCTGGGAAGAGAGGAAGAGGAAGGCCAAGGAGAAGATGGGTGCAGGATGTGGCAGATGATCTCCAGATGGGTGTATCAGACGCAGGACATCTTGCTCAGGATAGGAAGGTTTTCCGGAGGGTTGTTATGGCAGCGAGGTTCCGCGAGGGACATGCTACTGAATGAATGAATGAAGACAGTTACATTTTCAAGTCTTTTCTGTGGCATACAGTGGGCACGCCAACTCACTATATCACTATTCTCCGTTTAGATTCTTCTGTCTCACAAAGTTAGCGTCCCTAGAGATAGATAGATGTACAGAAAAATCTATGGGGCACATGTAAAGACCTCAAGTGTGGTACAGCGGGCGCAAAGTTGTAAATTATTGTGAAATGCGTGATCTTCAATTTTCAAAGCTTGTTTTTCCAAGTAAATAATTATATTAATGGTTATTATTATTATTATATTTCTATAAATGGTTACATGGGTATTTTATGTAATGTACCCTTACAAAAGTATTGCGGCTGAAGGGCTTCAAGTAGCCTGAGCTCCCAGGTTCCTGCTCCCATGCACCCCACCTCTATGTGTTGTTCTCTTTTTTGAGTTTTTATTTATGTATGCATGCCATATTATATATATATATATATTATATTAGGGCTGTACCGAATAGTGATTTTCACTATTCGGCCGAATACGAATAGTGGGACCAACTATTCGGCCGAATACGAATACGAATAGTGTATCATTATCATCAGGTGCCTTGCCGACTGGTGTTGGCGATTTTGCCTCGCCACAATCTGCGATCTCCTGCAGCATGTATCAGTTTGTGTGCTGACACACCTCCATGACATGCAACAAGACTGTCAAGAATCTTCACTCGTTGTCTTTTTCTATCTCTCCTTCCAAACATCTTTCTAGTTTTCACCACATGTTCCATTTTCACTCTTCTTATAAGATGGCCGAAAAATGATGACTGTCTCCTTTTGATATCTGCGATTAGTTGTCTTCGGGCTCCCGCCTCTTTCAAAACCTATTGGTTGTTTTTTTTTTAGGCTGTCCAAGGTATTTTAAGCATTGTTCTGTAAAACCACATCTCTGAGGCCTCAAAAAATTGTTTGGCCTGGCTACCGATTGTCCAGGACTCATAGCCATATGTTAAAACTGGATGTATGTAGCAAGCAAGACTAATATATATTGCATAAGATGTTCTTTTTTTTATATAAAATGCAGTTTTTGCTTGTCCTATTTTGTTTTTTATTTTAGTAATGCATCTTTTATCTGATTTTATCCATGTGCCAAATTCGCATTTAAATCATCGTTCGTTCAGGCGTTCGTTCGGTGTAATTTAAATGCACCTCCACATTCTCGTTCGCAATATCTTTAATTTGATTTGGGAAAAGACACCCCGAAAGAACGAAAAAAGGCATGCTCTCTCTCTCTCTCTCTCTCTCTCTCTCTCTCTCTCTCTCTGTCTCTCTCTCTCTCTCTCTCTCTCTCACACACACACACACACACAGATACACTTTCAAGTTTCTTCATGCCTTCTTTACCACAACAGTAGCGTTGCCTAAATCTGTCGTAGCGGGAAAAACTGTGACCCGGTTGCGTGGTAACAGGGCCTGCTGACTCCTCTAAGGCATTACAGCAGAGGTTCTAAAACTGGGTGCGTATGCCAGGGGTGCCGCGGCGAAAATCAAGAAAAGTCGGCTATAAATTGTGACATTATTAATGAGAGAGTTTTTTCAGTCCATCGCAGTGTATGCAGAAATCACTGTTCGTATTCGGCCCGACCGCCACTATTCGGCCGAATACCGAATAGCTATTAGGTCTACTATTCGGCCCTGAAGCGAATACTAAGCGAATATTCGGTACAGCCCTAATATATATGCCATTCTGGAAAACGTTATTATTATTTTTATTATGCATCGAACGAAGGTTTAGGCCCTCTGATGTCTTCCCCCCTGCACCTTGAAAAATGTCTAGGGGGCCTCAGACGACCGCTCCCCCCTCCCCGGCCCTTCCGCCACGTCAATATTTTTTTCCTTTCGGCACCCATACTCCATCTGTAACTCCCCATCCCAATTTCACCCTCCCCTCCCCCACACACCGTGCATTTTCCCTGATTGTTTATGTAAGAGACAAGCTTGTTTGCCAGACAGCCGGCTCTGCACCACACGTGTCTGCCATCCACGCCAGATCTGGTGCATTATGACAGTTCTGGCGGTTTTGAACCAAGCTGGGAATCAGGGAGCTTGATGTTCCCTGACAACCTTTATATTCCCTACGAATTATTTCTAGGTTATTAAGCGGGAGGCCATGGTTAGATCGTCAGTAGGTAAGTAAAGGACCCCTTTCCACGCCTCTAGGCGTGCTTTGAACATAAGGCTAGACCTGAGTTTATACAGTATTGAGCACGTGACATCACTGTGTGGACTTAAACGGCTACGTCATAATGACAGTTTAAAGATGGCCGCACAACTTTTGACATCAACGGAAGTGGCAGTTCTTTCTCCTCCCCCCCCCCCCCCATAATTCTAGCAACAACAACAACAACAAAAATGGAAAACGCGGCTACGTTTAGCCTATTGATGACAACGAAGCTGCCAACCGTTTACGTTGCTACTGGTGGTCTGGTTATTTGCACCAATAGTTTGGCTAAGATTGTGCTATCTTCTTTCTTCTTTGTGTTCACCAGCTGTACACTCTGGCGTAAAGTTCTGGTTGTTCGTCCACTTCTGGACTGCAGTCATGCTCCAGAACCTGAGTGTTGCATGTGCATCAGTTTTACAGATCTGATTCAATTGAATGCAGACTGCTGGTTCCTTGCCTCTCAGGCAGATGCACTCCGACTTCAAAGGAAGCTCCCCAGTTAGTCGACTCTTACGACATGCTTTTGGGGAGGCAGTGGGTCTATTCTTGTTTTCCCCACAATAGGGCCCCGGAACCCACACGGGGGAGATTGTGCTATGAAAACCACATTGTTGGTTTTTATGCACATGTCCTCTTCTTCTTGTCTGTGTTTCACTTATTCCTAGCTTTCCGATATTTTTGCTTCCTGGTTCATCTTCAGTTCGTTGGGTCTCCTAAATGGATTTGCCCCTCTGTCCTCTATTATGGTCCTGAATTTGTTCCGCCCTACTACTGATCCCTACTTTGGCCAGGCGTATGTCATAAGAGATCGAGCTAGGTTGCATCTCTGTTGTTACTTTATGTCCTTTTAAACCAACATTTATTGTTCTCAAGTTTTGATTATTCTAAATTGCCAAAACTACTGCAAAGGAGTTTTTGGGTTTGTATAAAAGTGAAATGGTGAAAATCGTTTGCCGAGTGATCATAGCGATCTCATAAAAACCTTCCTGAAATAAACGCAACGGTTCTAGAGCTGGGTGCCGAGACATCCCAGTGTGCCGTGAGCATATTCCATGGGCGGTGAGGCAATAATCAAGAAAAGTCGGCTACAAATTGTGAAATTATTAAAGACGGCATGTAGATACTTAAAAAGTTAAAATTTAAGTTGTCTTTCCTGGCCACTGTCAAAAATAGTTTTTTTTTTTTTTGAGAACTGTTGCGTTAACGCATCGTTAGCCCGACCCGGTGACGTCAGCAGCACGGCCCATCTTCTAAAGCTGGTCGTGGTAAGTGCGCCCTGATTGGTGTTCTAGTGTCTTAGTGCAGTCGGGATTGAATGATCAATATGTGGTGAAAGGGGAATGGGTTGGAATGATGA